CTACTGCTACTGCTACTCTACTACTACTCTACTGCTACGACGGCGGCGACGACGACTACTACTACTACTACTACTACTACTACTGAACGACTGAAGAGAGTGAGAGCACATGTCCACTTTACGCAAGAAGACTGCCCCAGCAGGCACGTTAGCCTCTTTGTCCAGCTGTCATCGCAAACTTCTCTCGGACAGGTTGGCCTCGAGGCGGATCTGATCACATACTGGACCTGGCCCTTCCACTTCAATCAGATTCACAACCACTTCCGGCCGCAGAACAGCATCCCCAAAGTGTGCAGTTGGCCTCCCTCACTGGTTGGAAGCTCAAAACAAGTCACAACCAAGACCTTGCCTCATCCAGAATATCAGCCAATCTGCCCGTCGCTCGCCCGCTGCTGTCGCTGAAAAATTCAGATGAGCATTCATCGACTTGGCAATCTTCGTCGAAACCTGTCAAGGTGATCAATGCTCATCTGAACTTGTGGCCGTTGGCCTCAAGGCAAGTCTAATGCGTTACACCCGGCCAACGGCGTCAGGGCAACGACTCGATGGGCAGGCCCGACTCCGTAAGGCAACTCCGGGACACGATTTCCCCGTCACACACTGGCACTTGGCCCTTCCAACGCAGGCAGATTCACAACAGCATCCCCAAAAGATCATACAAAGCGCAACTACGTGACAAAGCAAACAACAATCTGTTCGTGTTACCAAAGCACGCAGCAAGTCACAACCAAGACTCTGGGCCTACGTACTGCCGCAGTACCAAAGACATCTGCTCATTGCTCTCTGCGGATAGGTTGGCCTCAAGGCGGGTATGACGCCTGGCACCTGCAACGGTGTCCGGAGAAGGACTCGATAAGCCGGGTCAACTCCGCAGGTAAGGCAACTCAAGACAAGATTTCCGAGTCTCACAGTGGCCTCTGCCCCTTCCAATGCAGGCAGATTCACAACCACTTCGTCCGCCACCACGTGCCGGCAGTGCTACCAACAGGCCCATGGTTTTCAATGCTAAAAAAGAAAATGGACAACACATGAGGACAGAAAACAGGTTAGACAAGACAAATGAATCGAGAAAAAGACAAACCATAACAAAAAGGACATAGATGCGTCACGGCTTCAGAGCCCTATTGTTCACACGTCTCCAGGATTCTCCAGGGATCTAAACCTCGCGGGTCTGCGGCTGCAAACAAGCTCAAGGTTGCTGCTACTTCGTTTACTTCCCATTACTCCCAGTACTTCTACTTCTACTTCTTGGTATCTTTCTGCTTCTACTTCTAATGCTACTACTATTTGCTACTGCTACTGCTGCTACTACTGCTTGTTACTACTACTGCTGCTCCTGCGGGCTGCTACTGCGACTGCGACTGCCATTGCTACTGCTGCTGCTACTGCCACTGCTACTACAGTACTGGTACTGTATCTACTGCTTACAAAGTTCTATTCCCGCTACTACTGCGGGCGCTTCTGCTACTACCGCTAACGCCGCTGCTGCTGCTGCTGCTGCTGCTGCTGCTGCTGCTGCTGCTGCTGCTGCTGCTGCTGCTACTTGTACTAGGGCATCGCCTCTACGAAGATGCTGTCACCTCGGAGTATCGCGACTATTATCTTCGAAGAACCCACAGCACAACAAGCACATTAACACACCCCTGCCTAAGCAACAGTTCCCGAACCAGGCCCCCGACAATATTAATGCTTCTTGGGCTTGCTGCTGTCAGTGGCACCGGTCCTGCTGATCGTTTCAAGTCTTCAATTAGGACAGCTGCCGTCAGCACGAACAGCTTCAATATTCGTGAAGAAGTATCATGGCTTCTTGACTGTTGTGCTACTGTTGTCATGACTTTGGCTCCGGAAAGTCGTATCTGCCCGCCAAAGAGGCGCTGCCAAGCGAGAGCTGGAGGCAGCGACAGGCGCTTCGGTGCAAGTTCATGTGGCGGAGGCTGGGTGGGTGCATTTTGGGCGCTTTAGTAGTTGAACCGGTGTAGTTACGTGGATAGCACAAGAAGTAACACACGCGAACATGATCGTGCTTCGACGGGAGACAATCGCGACTGTGCCTCTTCTGCAGTAGCAGCTCTCGTAGCAGCAGTAGCCACAGTAGGAGTAGGAGTGGCAGCGGCAGCGGTAGCGGTACTAGTGATGTCGTGCCCGTGCTGTTTCGTGCTTGTGGCGGTGGTAGTAGTAGAAGGTAGAAGTAAGCATCAAAGCAACAGTAGAAGTAGAAGCGAAGTCCGAGTACAAGTGGTAGAGGTCGTAATAGAAGACGTCGTGGTGGCAATGGTTTCGCTAGTGGTAGCCCTGGCAGCGCTCGTTGAAGCAATACCTCAGTAGCGAGCACAGCAACATCAGCATTAACAATGTCGGTGAGAACAAGTAGCTCCAGCATGATGCATCAAACACGGCAGCCAACACTATTTCGAGCTCATTCGTGTTCAGGGATGCAACTATGACTTCCGAAACCAAGCCGATGCCAAGGCTGCAAGCTTTCCAACCAGCGGTTTTAAACTTTCAATGCTCTCGACTGGTTGTTCAAACTGTAGAGATTCAGGACTGTTGAGATGCCCAATGAAGAGTTGAACTCTTCCTGTGGTCAGCATGATGTTACAGCTTGCAGGCATTCAGTGCATTAAGGTTCAGGTCTTAGTGCCTCCTCGGTGTTTGCAGGTTAGTGCTTCGGGCATTCAAGCTTAGGCTGGGTTCGACGATTGTGGCTTAGACGTTGACGATGAATGCCAAAGCAAAGTCAGGTGAAACTAAAAGAAGTCTCAAAGAAGTCGCAGTCGGAAGCAGGCATCCTACTGGCAATTAAACCTGCGTTCCTGGATTTTCCCAGCAACAAAATCGACAAAACTGAAACCTGAAAAGGTACCGCACTTCAAGACAGCTAGTTCTACTCGCGGCTTTGGCACCCTAGCACAATACCCACAAGCCTCTCAACACCTGGTAGGGCCGATTGGAGCTGGCTGGCAAGGCCGCAGCGGTGCAGGCAGAAACTCCCAGCCAAAAGCGTCCAAGCCTTTTCCTGCTTGAGGCATTTAGGGCTTGGGGTTGCATGGTTGGACGTTGCTTTAGACTTTATGTTCCCTTTCGTAACACTTGGGTTGAGTGGTGTTCAGGTACGTGATGGCTACAAGATTTGGATTGCGGGATACATTTTCATTTAGGACACCAGGCCGTGCGCCCTAAACTCGACCCCCCGAGTCTGACCCCTTCGAAAAAGGGCTGTGATGCAAGACAGGAGAAGAGGAGAAAGGAGTCTCACCATGAGGCGAAGCATCGCTTGCCCTTTGAAGCCCAAGCCCTTAGTTGGAGCACTGAAGCCCCAGAAAGCTTGACCTCCAAACACCCCAGCTAGAAGCACAAGAAGCTGCCAACGCCACAAGGCGGCACAACAGCTTTTGGCCGAAAGGGTTTGCTATGTGGCCTACGAGGTGGGGTTGCCGGGAGTTGTAGAGTTGTAGATGCAGCTTGGGAGAGCATATGTTCTGAGATGTCAAGCAATTTCGGGGCATGAAAGAGTTACCGCACGTGCTGTCATCAGCCTAGCGCAAGCTCTCAAGCATCGACCGCCAAAGCCTGCAACCCCAGAGCTGGCAAAGCCAACGACTTGCCTCCCGCGTGCGACTTCTTCCCTGTGCATGACTCCAGTCATCGTCCAAGCAACCGGCTGAGAGCCAGCTATGTGCTGAGCACGGATCAAGGGAGCTTGGAGTACGAAAACCCGGTCATGCCCCAACCATCCCTAATTCCCGAACAACTGCACCGGTGTTTGATCAAGGCTCGACATCTGTAGGTCCCATCTGGCAGCGTTGGATCTTGAACTTCATTCAGAGCATGCAGGTGCCGCGGGAAATCGCCAGTGCAGTGTTGGGGGAGCCACTCGGCGAAAGTTCGTCCGGTCGCGTGGTGGTTTTAGGCGGTGTGCTTTCGCAACCTGCAGTCAGACCAGATGTACGAGCCCGCATGCGACACCGCATTTTGCAAGCACCCTTCCGAAGCTCGAGGCTCCCGAACACCTTCCTCACTTTCAGAATAATCATCTTGCAGCGCGCTTGTCTGTAAAGTGCTGAAGCGGACAACCCGGGTACCTCATCTAAATCATCTACGGGGGATGGAGAAGAGCCAGGCGTGGCCAGACGCGGCAGGAGCTGGAGAAAGCTTCTGGTGCACACATTTGGGTGGAGCTGCGTGACTTGGTCCCGCCTTGTAGACGCATGGAAGTCCCAGAAATCGACGACAACCCGCGGTTACGAGCATACACCCCAGCACTAATGTTACATAAAGCGCCCCAGCTCCACATCTTCAACCCCGAAAATGTTTCGGTTGCTGCACCTCCCAGCTTACGTTCGTCAAGCAATACGAATGGGGTAAACGGACAGTGATGAACAAATGTTCTCAGCTCTGCATGGTACAATCGGGGGTTCGTTAGGACCGTGCTCACGGCAATCACATAACTTGAACTGGCCATAAGTGCTTCTCCACCAACACGGCCACTGCTAGCGCCGTCATCATCATCGTGGCTGTCAGCAGCATGTCAAAAGCTAGACGGAGATGCAAACTAATGTCTGGTGAGTCTAGAGGTTATTATACTATATTATATTATATTATATTATATTATATTATATTATATTATATTATAGTCTAGAGATTAAGAATCGTTCCCAAGTTTCTGAGTCCAAGGCGACTCGGGCCTCTCATTTGTGCAGCTGGCCGGCTCTGGGGTCTCTGTGGCCCAGGCCACGTCAGCCTTGGATGCCCGTGTCCCTGCCTGCAAAAATTGCAGATTATGGGGTTAGGGCACAGCCAAGCATCCAGTGCCTTCGGTTTCATTCTGGATGATTTGGGTTTCGGGGTTTCGGGCTTGCAGATTTCGCGCTAAGCTTTCAAACTCACGGTTTTAGGACATGGAGATGTCGCGGCGTTGTTTTTGTGAGGTCTCGCTAGGAAGGCCACTGCCGCGTCATGGTGTCGGGTGGTTAAAGTCCTAGTCTGAGGGCTTGCAATCTGTTTGCATGTTGGCTGAGTGGGTTCAGGTACGGATAGCCGTGATGTGCACGTGCGCAAGGCACTCATTTGCGAGTGCATTGCGAGCCATGTGTTGTTGACTTTCACGAACCCCCACCTGAGACAATCAATGTACTTGTGGAACAACCGGAAGGCCGCACCGTACACTTCCACACCATCTGATGGTTAGTTTATGGAAGTCCATTCCGCTGGTTTTTAGTTTTGAGTCCCTCGAAAACGATTGATTCAAGGCAGTGAGATTGTATTTATATCCTAGGTCCTGAGCCCGTGGCTTGAGCCAAGGCTTCTTCCAGGACTCCATCGACCTTCCTCTCTTCGCAGAGCGCCGTGGGAAGGAGATCGTTCGCCAGCTGCGCGAGACCATTGCACGTGCCTAGGTTCCATTTCAAACTTCTGCTTTTCACATCGTGTTTTTTTGTTTTTTCTGCTTGCATGTGTCCGAATATTAGCGAAGCTGCTTTCCCAGCATCTGGTGGGGGTTTAGCCGTGGGAGCAAAGGCCCCCGATGCCTTGTCGGGCCCAGTACGGTTCGTGCCTAGTTGGTGATCAGCGGCTGCCGGAATGGAGAACGAAGGAAAACCAGCATGAAAAGCAAAAGCTGAAGCCGAGCTAGACCGGCAATGCTTTCCGCCTCCTCACTTTCGGCACAACGGCCCCTTCAGCGACAGTGGAACAGACCGTCAACTCCAAGCTCCGCTTTCACGACTCCCGCCGTTCTGCTTCAAGGGGTGATGAGGGCCTTCTCGGATTTCGGACCTTCAATGAAGGGACATCGGATCCTACGATTCTAGTCTCCTACAAGTTGTCCCTGTATCCAAACGACTCCTCATTTACTTAACTTATCGTGATTACACCTGAGAAAGCAAGGTGAAGGGCGCTCGCAAGACTGCCGCCTGCATTTGGAAAGGACTGGTTCTTAAGCAGTGATCACGATGTTGATGATTATGACTATAACACCTGTTACGGCTTCCAGCATTGTAACGCTTGGAATCCGTCCTGTGTAGAAAAGGAAAGTGCACGTTTGGTATTGGTTTCTCGGCTTCCGTTCTGGTATCGTGGGCCGAGCTTGTGCTTCGTGTTGTTGCCCACTAATCATCCTCCCCTTTGCGCTGTTCACAGTATCAAGCTTTTAGGTACGCGGGTCTCAGGCTTTACAGTTGCGGGTCTCGTGCGATTTGGCACACAAAGGAACCATTATTCTCGGACCGCCGCGCAGGTTCTCAGACATGAACTGGACGTCCAAAGTTTCACCGTGAGTCATGAACTTTTGACACGGGCTCCGATCCGACACCTCAAGCGCTGCCAGGCTTCTTGGTACCTGAGGCCCATAAGCATCAGAATCAAGAGCCTCGAACAGCGGACGGTTGTGGAGCTCTGCATAATATGAAGGTTGGCCAGCGACAGAGAGTCTGCTCGAGCTTTGTTGTTGCTTTTCTTGCTCGTTTGTCCCCATGTTTCCCTGCACATGACCGCACACTTAATGATTGGCGGCAAACACTATCCTTCCTTTCCTCATCATATGAAGCTGTACCCTCACAGCCCGGACCTCATTCTAATGTTTTCGCCCCCCGGGTTCTGCCCCTGAAGCCGGCGGGTCACGGAGGGTTCTCTTCCAAACGGCCAATCTGCATGCACCCGTGTTGCCAAGTTTGGAATTTTTATCAAGGCTTCAACCTTCTACTAAATAAGCTTCCACCCACGCTCAACCCGAAACCTAAAAAGCCACAAGCCTTCAATCCTTACATCCGGAAATACCCACCATGAGCCCCTTCAGATGCCTGGAGCCCTACAGCCAGTCCTTGCTTGTTTTCTCCAGGATGCCCAACCACTGCTGTGTGAAGTTCACCGGGAGCCGTGAGATTGTGGCCAAGGCTCTCCCTCCCTAATCGCTCTGTTAGTTCTTTAAGATGATCTCGACTGCGGCCTACTGCCGCTGTCGTCCTCCTATTCGTGCTATTCAAAGGGTTACTGGTAGCCGCTTAAGTTGTGATATTTCTTGGGAGTTAGCGCGTCGTGTTCTTGAGCTTATGTTGTGAGCTTGAAGTCCTGCAACTAACCACCGTCACCATCGCCATGAGCATCATCATCATCATGAGACGCAACCAAGCAGCAGCACCAAACCAACACCCACTCGCATCACCAGCGCCAGCACCAGCAGCACCACCACCACGACCACGACCACGACAACCACCACCACGAAAACCACAAAATGCCATTAGAAGCAGGACCGGCGCCATTCCAGCAGAAGCACAACAACTGTCACAGACCACAAGGACCACGAGAAACAGGACAGCGAGAAGCTGCAGCGGCAGCCACATTCATCATTTTGACACTGTTGCCAGACTCGTTCGTGTGCACCCCGGCCAAAAGCTGAAGGCAAAGTCGTTGGTTGAGGGGGCCATTGCCTTTACTGAGCTGGCCGTCTCGAAGGCGCGGGATTCCTGGCTCAGCACAGTATATGTCATGCCGTAGCAGGCGAAGCTAAGACTTTAGCCTTTAGCCAGTGGGCCAATTTTTCGTCGGGTTCGGTTCTTCCTCGCAGTGGAAGTTCCCATCCATGGCCTAGGGCTTGGAAGACGTGTAGAGGCGGCGGTCCGGCGAGCTTGACTCGGCAGAGTGGCTCAGTATGTTTAACATCAAACTCCTGTGTTTAATGTAAATGATGCTGCAGTGCTTTGAACAGCCTTGACCCCCTTCCCAAGTTGCACAGGCGAAGCTACAGCCAAGCTAGGTCTCGAAGTGCATACTTCCCACCTATGTACCTGACAGACTGACAGACTGCCGAATCCGGACAACCGGGCAGGCAGAAGCACTTCAAGTCATTGGCAAGGGCGGCTCCAGGATCAAGTTGCTACGGGAGAAGACTGGAGCGCATCTGGACACTCGCTTGACGATTCAAGATTTAAGATCCTCCCCGCCACACGGCCACGGTGCCACTCCCGAACAATTTGGACGGTTTGTAGGTGGGGACAGGGGAAAGAAGGCCTGAGGACCGAGTCGCTTCGAAAGAAGCTGGACAGAGGTGGAGTAGTGAAGAGGCAATACACGTACTATACGGAGACTATACGTACCTTCGGATTCACTGGGGCTTCGATGTGCATGTCATCCTGAGATCGACTCGTGCTGAAAGCTCCAAAGGTCAACCTTTTATTTAGGCTCGGCTGGTAGGCCCCGACACTGTGAACTGCTCTTGGCACGGATCACCGATGTTACTGCATAAGAGCCCTCCCAGCAAAGTTTCACCAGGGAGATGCCTGTGGTTGTTTGTGCCTTTTGGGGCGCTGAAACTGTGGAGAAGAGGCTGTGACTCTGTGAGCAAATGCTTGTGATGTGAGGCCGAGCCGTTTCAGGCACTCCAAAAAGTCTGCTTGTCCTCGAACGTACCGTCTATGGCCGAGCGTACAAAGTCAGTGTGATAAGTTAGTTCCCTTTTTTTGTACGGGCTACTACGCAGCACGTATCTGCGTTTGTGCGTTGTCGATCTCATACCATATCAGCCACGGCGGAGGACTTTAATCTCCAGTCGACCTTAAACCCTGACGTTCGTACTGACAGGAAGTGGTTCTTGACAGAGACCCATGCCTGGTCCAGATTGCGGGATCGCCGCAGGCATTGTCACTTGCCAAGGACCATCCTTTGGAGAAGGGTTATTTCTGTATCATTTTATCAACTGCATGTGGGCATTGCGGAGGCCAGTCTGTTTCTGCATCAACTGCAATTGCAGCTGTCTGGTTAATGGGCTACAGCGGTTTCGTCGTGTTGTGGGCCGCGACTTCCGGCGCACTTGTCTGGTGTTGTAGTGTTCTGCAGACGATTTACTGTGCTGCCACCCTGGCGTTTTCACCATTCGCTTGGCCGGGGCCCCAACCTGTGCAGGAGGAGTTGAGGGCGGATGCACCTGGCGCCAGCCACATCGCTGCACTCGAGTCGCACACCTTTTCATGCGGGCGACGCCTCTCGATACGGATCTCGAGTTCTTTCGACTACTCTTAGAACCCGCTGGCAAGCGTTCAAAGTGGCCTCGGGGTTGTGGGTGCACCGTCGCCGAGGCCCAGCTCCATCCACTGGAGACAAGTCGGTGCGGATGCCAACAGCAGTGGCCATGGATACCACTGAGGCCGTCATCGCAAGCCCTGCCCAGAACTCTACCAGTGTCTCTCGTTCCTGTTCTTTTGGATCCTCTGGTTTCTGATTCAGGACTTGGGATTGTGTGTCCCGTTTCTGGTTCAAGGCGATGTGATGACAGGGACCACAAAAGGTTCTTGGCAGTACAGGGTGAGCAGTAGATCGTGGGCGCATGGTCTCACACAAATCACAATCTGCCTTTTGAATATGCGCCGACTGCGAAGTCGCTTCGAGATGCTACTCTGGTGTGTTAGGCGGCAGCGTATTTTAGGAAGCCAACCTCCGAGCTGAACCACACTGGCCACCGGCCACAAACCCTGGTCCGAACACCTTCGCCAAACAAAGAGTGAGACGGCACAATCGATCTATCGACCGGTCTGGTTTGGAATAAGACTCCATGCCAGAAGCTCCACCGAAGCTGAAGAAACCTTGAAGCTGGAGCTTGAGGCTGTGCAGCAGTTGGCTTCCACGCCCAAACATCAGAAGGCTGGCACCGTTCTGGCTGAAACAGGGGTGTGTAGGTTGAAGGCTCCCGACCAGGTTTCCTAACTTCCAGACTCTTGGAACCTTGATCCTCAAGGCTCAAAGCCCAGAAGAACCCCAAACCCTAAGCCCTACAGGCCCCTAGAGGCCCCTAGAGGCGCTGAAGCCGGGAAGGGGCAGCTTACAGCTCAAGGATTCAGAGCAAAGGTTGCCAGGGGCCCAAGGGCCTTTTTGCAAGCCCCACTTCTTCCTTACCAGGCTCCTCCTGAAGCTTTCATGAAGGTGCATCTGCATGTCCCAAAGAAATCTAACCTAGAAAAGTTACGCCCCCAGAGTTCCGGGCTCGTGTAGGGAGTGCGGAAAACTGAACCTCGACCGGAGGCCAAGTAACTAGGAGCCCTAAGCAACACACCAGATCTGACAAGCCGTGGCATGTTCAGGTGCTGATCGATGGTTTGGATGTGATGGGCTTAGACCAACTGGTACTGTGGATTCTCCTTGCTCGGTGCCAGTGTCGGGGTCAGATGCAGTGGCTTATGTTTAGGGGTAGTTTCTTTCATTGGGGCTATCCGCTTTGCGTCTTGGTACACAGCAGTGCGAAGTGCAGACCGTGCAGATTCATTTCTTAAGGATTTACCGAATTCTCTTTTCGAGGTGCTCCGCTTTCGCAACGCTTCGGGCTCTGGAGCGGCCCCGGAGGCACAAGTTCAGAACAGACCACAAGGGATTAAGGGCTCAAAGTCTTAGCTTTCAGGAATCCGATGTTGAAGTGAGTTGCTGCATGTTGACTTAGACTGTTCTCCGTTGCCCACATAAGCTTGTTGGGCTGTCTCCTCGTACTCAGAGACACTGCATCCGAAGCTGCCAACAACTTTCAACCCTCAGCCCCATGCCCAACACCCCGCTAAGCGTCCCCTGCATGCCCGTCGCCGCAACGATCAGAAGCCCGCCTCTGCTGCAAACCAATGACATTGCTGTCAACCCAATTCCCAGCTACAGCCTCAACCTCCGAGCACGCAGCCATGTGCTGGAGGTCTCTTGGCCTCAACTCTTTTCTGCCGCCGCCTTCTTCGCCTTGAAGGATTTTGGGAACAAAGTGCTGCAGCTTGGGGTCCGTCGTTCGAGTTTGGGCTGCGGTGTCCTGTTCACGGATCTGGGTCGACACCGTCGACGTCTGCGCAGTTTTGAGACTTTGAGGTGTCCTGTTTCAGGAAGCTTCTTCCGAAATAACTGTACATCTCCTGCTCTTGTTGGCAGGCCCGTGAGAGGAAGCAATTAGCATGTGGCAGATACCAATCTAGGGCCGCGCTGTTCAGTAAACGCGAGTAAATCCTCGCAACCCAAGAATCGCCCGCACTTCCCATGGATGCAAGTTTGAATGGCTTGGGTTTAGCGGGGTAGAGATTGTTTGGTGTCGACGTGTCATTTGCTGGCCCAGTGCTCAGGGAGTTTGCGGCTTTGTGAAAGACCTCTTTTTCTGTGTTTCACTGTCGGTACCTTCAAGTGCCTCATAAGGAAGTCTAGTTCAGAACAGCCCTCGCTAGAATGGAGGCACACGAAATCCAGATTTTCCTGCCATTGGCCGAGCTCGACCCACAGCAGCAGCTTTGCTGAGCTGGGTGTGTGTATGTGTGTGTGTGTGGTGGGGTTTTAGCGTTCTATCATCGGGGCAGCACTTCAGCGTGTGGTGTCGTGGCCGAGGTGCTGGTGGAATAGATGGTTGCGATGATAAGGATGAGTATCTGGTGAAGAAGAAGATGATGGCAACGCTAATATCATCATCGTAGTCGTCGACATCATCTTCAGCATCAACATCATCATACATCGTCGCCTGATGACAATCATGGCGCATCAGCACCAGCACCGGTGCCATCATCATGTTATGTTTATTATTCTTCATCGTCATCGTCCTCGTCGTGATTGTCGTCATCATGACAGAAGGCATCATCATCATCATCATCATTATCAACAGCAGCAGCAGCCAAACTAGTACCGCGCGCAGTGGGAAAGAGCGTTCAACCTGTTCGGCCGTGTGAGGTGTGACCGGCTCCGTGCAACTTTCGGCACGGAGGCCGTGGTAAAGGCCGACGCCTCGCGGTCGTTGCTCCTGGGGCTCCAGCAGAGGTTAATGTCTTGAGGCCTTCTGCCTGTAAAGCCTATCAGGTGCAAAGGGGCGCTACTAAGGTTTCCAGGCCTCAGGTCGTCGATTAAGGGTTGTGGGTCGATGTTTCTGCCGCACCCTTTGTCGTATCAGTAATGCGATGGGTTCTGCAAAATCACGCCTGTGCCTTTCTTAGAACTAGGATTTGAGGTTTCAGACTTAACTTTGGTACGTTTTCAGAGAATGGTGGTTCCTGTTTTGTTTTCTGCTTTGCCATGTGTCCTTCCCAACACCGCAATGTCCTCGGTTGCGAAGCTTTTTGGTTACGGCTCTGCTCTGATTGGCAGGCTCACATTTTCATTAAACTAGATCGCTAGGGTGTAGGCCTTTCGAAGTTGCATGGATACATGTTTATACATGGATGTAATTACAGAAGTACATGTGTATACAGTACATGTATACTGTGTCAGTTTGGTACAGGAGTGAAAGTACGTATGTATATGTGTGCGTATGTACACATGTATGTATGCACATATGTACGCATGTAAGTATGTGTGTATGCATGTATGTATGTATGTATGTATGTATGTATGTACGTATGTATGTATGTATGTATGTATGTACGTATGTGTATGTATGTACGTATGTATGTATGTATGTATGTATGTATGTATGTATGTATGTATGTATGTAGGCATGTTTGTGTATGCAGGTGTATGCAGGCATATGTATCTGTGTTTGCCTGTATGTAAATGTAATTGTCCCTATCTGGATGTATGCATGCATGCGTACCCACATGCACACATGCATGCATACATGCATAGATATAAAAAGAGTTCCTACATGCCGACTCATGCATTCACTCACTCATTCAATCATCCACCCATTTGTTCATTGGTTCATACGGACCTACATACATGCACAATATCTACCTGCCGACCGGCCGACCTGCCGACATACATACATACAATGCATAAATGCATATGCGTATGTATGCTCATATATCACATACAGATACATGCATACACACATGCATAGGTATGCACATATGTACATATGTTCGTCTATGTGTGTATATGTATACATATACATGGATATATATATATATATATATGTACAAGCATACATACATGTGTGCATGTATATGTGTGTGCATCTAGAATTTTATATGTACAAGATCTATACAAACGCGTTCATCTATTTCTCTCTGCATGCGCGTATCTGTAGCGTTATTTACATCTCCGGAAGCACCAAACTTAAAGCTTTGAGTCCGCATGCCTTAGACAACACCTAAACCCTAAACCCTGAACCCTGAACCCTAAACCCTAAACATCCCAGGATCCTCTCCGCAGCCGAAGTGCTGACGAGCACGGGCAAGCACCTGTGAGGAATTTATGTTGCATTGGGTCAAACTGGGGTGCAGCTGGAAAACTGCCGTCATGGTGGTATTATGGGAAAGGTACAATGAGCACAGAGTGGTTGTAAATCATGCTGGGTCTGAGTTTCATGCATTCCGCGCATTTCAAACAGAGAATCTTGCGCAGCAACAAGTGTTTTGCAGCTTAGCCCAGCCACAACAGGCGATGCGTCATTGTCAGCAATGCGACAGGAGGTCCGTGTCCGGGTCCACCGTGGTGCAATTGGGATGTACGTGCATCGTGCGGTAAACACGCGCATGGCATGCATAGCCTGCTTGTTCCAGAGCTACTGTTATCCTGAGGCTCGCGCTACGCCCGAATAGATTCGCCGCCGGCGTTAAGCACGTAATTCCTGGCGAGTGAACCGAAGCAGAGAAGCCCAACTCACTCCAGGAGCTTTTGACGATGCATGGGTGCAAGATCTTCGTGTGGGATACGCCTTCTTGGATGCAGACACCTTCGTGCCAGCGCTTCGGACCATCCATACTGCGAAAGGTTTGGTTAGGTTTGGATTCAAGAGCATATCTTCGCGGGGAGCCAAGCACCCAAGTCTGAAGTATTGCATCTGTGTATCTGTGGCCTGAAGTATGCAAGAACAGATACTACTAAAATGGTTGACATTCAGAAACGGGTTCCCCCAAGGCTCGAAGGGCTAAGCTGGGGACTTGGGTGGGGGAGCACCAAATAGATGCAGCAGGGACTTTTGCGTTTCCAGACGCTATTTCTGGCACTTTAAACGTAAATTCCACCCAAGAGCTGTCCAAGGCCTGGCCGAGCGCAGCGCCGGCGATGGCCGAGAAGACCGCCAAAGGTTCCTTCGCGGTATAGCACAACCTATTCAATGAGGACACAAAGGCTGCGCAGGCCCGCACACTTGTACAGAGAGCACACAGAAGGTAAGATCGCTAACACAAGAGATCTTGTCCCGGGATGTGGTGTGATAGTAGGTCTTCATGTTGCCAGGAAGGGCGTGCACGGTGCTTTTGAGTCTTGCATTACGGACCATGGTACGAGGTTCATTCCCATCGTCTCAGTTCCGCCCCTACCTTCCATCCCCACAGCCATCAGCACGGCGACGACTACAACTACTGCTTCTACGACGACTACTCCTACTCCACTCCTACTCATACTCCTAGTCTTACTCCCATTCCTACGTCTACTCCTACTAACTACTACTACTACTACTACTACTACTACTACTACTACTACTGCTACTGCTACTGCTACTGCTACTACTACTACTACTACTACTACTACTACTACTACTACTGGTACCACCACTACCACTACCGGCCCCTGCCCCCGCAGTGGCTCGTTCGTCAGGCCATGTTTCGATTTTCGGATGGTGAGGGCTGCGCATGTTAAATCGTGCAGTCATACGGAGAGTGCAACCACGAGATTCATGTTTCGTAGTCGATTGCCGTTCAGCCGAGGTTTCTTCCACAAACGCTCCATGTTCGTCGGAGGCATCATGGAGAAGAAAGAGCGATGCATTGACTGCACTCGTCCTGTTTGGGACGGCCATGCCTCAATGACACTTCGATGAATCCGATGATTTCCAAGACCCGTGTTTGGCGTGTTGGGGAGCGTCGGGAAATAGAAGCAATGCACATGAATTCCAGAGAAAGGATTAAGCACGAATTCTGTTAATCTAGCTCTTTGTGTAACAGTTCCGTGTCTAATCTTGTAAATACCGAGTGTGAACGCCTAAAATGTAGACAATGCGCGATGACTAAAACACACAAGACAGAGAAAGGTGTGAATGGAGGAGAGGGACAAACAATGACTTGAAACAGTGCCGCACCATACATACTACATCGTAGGAGTAACCCTAAACCCTAAACCCCTAAACCCTAAGTCAACTGGGAGTTACTAGGCTCAACTTGCCTTCTGGTCAAGGAAATGTTCGAAGTGCCGAACGCCGGGTGGAGCAGCAGCCCGGCTGCAGCCGAACCCACCAAAGCTTCAGGCTGGTATTAGTAGTAATAGTAGTAGTATTAGTATTAATACGAATATTAGTAGTAATAGTAGTAGTAATATTAGTATTAATACGAATATTAGTAGTAATGCTAATACTATTTAGCAGGAGTCCTTCCCAAAGTTTCAGCGCCAAGGGCCCCAAGCTTCACATCGATGCGGAGGCAGCAAAGAGAGTGCTCCCTGGCTATCAAGGGCAACTACATTACCGTGAAGAATCGGTGATGAGGTGAACCCACACTCAATGATGCTCTGCTAGGCTGGCATGCACTGTTGCGGGTATGCACATCCAACCACCCATCCATCCTTCCTTCCATCCGTGCATGCAGGATGCATACTGGCTTACTTACTGACTGACTTACTACGTGTATATATATATATATATATGTTGATTTGTTTACACAGAAAATGTATGTGTATCTATATATACACACACCTACAGATATGCATAAACGTGTATATGACCAGACATGTGTACATCTCTGATGGTGCGCGAGAGTACGTATACATTAGCATGTATGTATGTATGTATGTATGTATGTACGTACGTACGTATGCATGTATGCTTTGTTACGCCATGGTGTTTTATATCGTGCTACGTTATGTTGGGTTATGTTTATGATTATGATTGTGTTGTGTTGTGCTGCGTCGTGCTATGCTATGCTATGCTATGCTATGCTAGGCTATGCTAGGCTATGCTTGGCTAGGCTGTACTAAGCTATTGTATGGCATGGCATGCTACATAAGAACGTACGAACATATGCATGCATGTATGTGTATATGTACCCACCTATGTGTGTATATGTACGTATAGGTTTGTTCCACACGCATGCATGCATGCATGCATGTATGCACCCATGTATGTAAGCATGCATGTCTGTATGTAAGTAGCTGTGCATGGGTGTACGTGTTTATGTTGATGTGTGTATGTGTTTATGTTTATGATTATGTCTAAGTATGGTTCTATGTCTGCGTATATGTAGATTTATGTCCATGTAAGATTATGTGAACGGGTACGTGCACGTATGTGTGTGTGTGTGGGCATGTAGGAATGTATGCGTGTATGTACGCATGTAATTATTTATGTATGTTCTTTCGATAGGGGCATCGTCAGACAGCCTATGCGTACACGCACATGTAAATACTGCGCAACATGTTTCCGAGGATCCTCCACACCACAGGCGTGCCAGAGCCGAAACTTTCGCAGGACGCCCGCTCCATAAATCCGACTCCGGCCAGCTAGGGTGCTTCACCGTTCTCGAGAGGGCTGAGAGTGGCGTGGAGTTCGGTTGTTCATGTTCAGGTTGGACCTGCTTTGAACACTTGCAGTATGGCTTCTCTTGCTCTCTTTGTGTTCGGAGAATAAAATTCCGGGTACTCGTGAATATGGCTTGGAAGTTATAATTATGGGGCGTTCCAGCATTTGTCGGCGAGTTTTACAAGTACTTGTAGCTGGGAGTCGTGAATTCCGCCGTCCATTTGTATTTTGCTACAGTAAATTACTGAATAGCATCCTTTCCGACAGCACCTGGGCAGCGGCAGAGCCTTGGGGAATGACACGACGTGCTGTTCCAAGCCCCAGCCTCTGGAGGAACCTCCGAAGGCCTAGACCCCACAACCCTTCAGCCAGAAAGCTCTCAGCTCCGAGCTCCACCACGCACAGGATGCTGCAGCAAGCAATCCCGTCATCAGCAGCGACTCAGAGGCAAACCTTGGGAGAAATCTACAACTGTCATTCTGTGGCAAGGTAGTGAGAGGATGATTTACTGTTTGACGACTAACACTCCCATCACGTCCACTAGCTGGAATTCACGCCACCGCCACTGCGCAGATAGCACTGGCATATTGCTTCTTCCTGTGCTTTTGCTTGAAATTGGTGTTGAGATTGCTTTCCAAATTGACGATGCTCAGTTGACGAGTAGTAGTTGGTGGTGATGGGGATCGGTAGTAATGGCAGCGGTAGTGGCAGCGGTTGGGGTAATCGTACTTGTAGTAGTAGGCGTCGTTTCGGTCGTTGTAGTGGTAGCGTCGGTGGTGGTGGCGGTGGTGGTGGTAGTAGTAGGAGTAGTAGTACGAGTAGTCGTCGTAGTAGTAGTAGCAACAGCAGTAGCAGGAGCAGGGACAGTTGCAGTCAAGATTTTGGTTATGCCCACATTTGAAAGCCGTTGCTAACCATTGATGGCATTCTCGTCATTGTCGTCGTCCTCCGCCTCCTCTTGCTCCTGCTCCTGTTCTCGCTCGTGCTCCTGCTCGCTCCTGCTCCTGCTGTTGCTCCTGCCCCTCCTCGTATGCCTCACGGTTTGGGCTATTGGCTCTGACGTTCGCAGGGGAGCTTTAAGGTTGTCGGGTTCGCAGGAGTTGAATGTACCAAGGGTGGCCGTTGCTCCTGCTCTTGAAAGTTCATCCCGAATGCAGGATAAAAAAGACGGCGCCAGCAAGCCCATCAAGGCAGACAAGAAAGAGAAGAAGCTCAAAAAGCTCAAAAAAGTCAAGAAGGAGAAGAAAGATAAAAAGAAAAAGAAGAAGGACAAGGATGACACGAGCAGCTGATGGCAGGAGATCATGGCTATAGACTGCCTTCTGGCTGGCATCATTCGACGAGACCAGGATGAGCATGAAGCCAATGCAGATGGATGTAGAGGCCAGGTTGGGAACACCGTCGCTTTTCCTGTCTCGTTCTAGTCATAGGCTAGCAGCTGGCATGCATGTTTTTGCAATACTGCAGCGGCTAAAGACTAAGAAAGACCTGTGCTCTCTAAATCGATCCGCAGTTTGCTTCGTGGCGTCCGCCGGCCTCGCGCAACACCTCACAAGCTTTAAAGGCGACAGCCAGGCAAACAAAGTCCCAGCCCTGGCGAGTTTGTATCAACGACGGTCTGTTAAATACATTCATACATTTCGAGTGGGATAGTGCGTCGCATGCATGCTGAACAGCACGAGTAAGCATGGCTACCAGCAGTGCCAGTCAGGTGATCCGGGGCGGGATGCGCAAATGGCAGACTACGAGCAGAGCGAAAGCGTTGAAGAATTGGCAACACTGACCGCTTTTAGCTGCTTTGTCTTCGTCTGTGGAACCGGCACTGGCACGGTGATGGTGGACAGCCTGGCATCACACTGATGTGTGTCCGGGCTTATTGCCCAAAGGAGCTTCAAGTCTTATCCTGGAGTTCGGGCATCTGCACACGTTCCCTCTACATCCTCAGGCGGAGATGTACATCGGTGACCTCACGCACAAATCTTGCGGAGTGAGAGTCCCAACGTCGCGTGGAAGTCATGTTTCTGAGCACTTTCGACTGCGGCTGTGCAGAAGCTGCACTGGATGGCAGTGATGCTGCTGGCCTCCTGAGTCACACACAAGGCGAGACAAGCTGGAGGGTTGACGGACCCGTGCAGAAGTATGGATCTGCCATGGGTGCCCTTGACTTTGGCAGCTCATGATGTACAGTGTCCTGCAGCGGGCAGCCGGAGCTAAAACTTAAAGCTGGAACATGGGGCCTCTGGAATGAAGGTCTTCCGCACCTCGGGTGAGGGACAGTGCTCAGGCGTTTACCGCCGGCTGATTTAAGTCAAAAAGTCTCAATAGCTCCAAGATTTGCATCTGGCTAGATACATGTTGCGGAAGAAACCTGAGTTGTGCGACCATCGGCCTGTTATCCTCCACCTTGAGTCGCTGCAGCGTCGCCGCAGCTGCATCCGGCCGAAGCACTGAGCTTGGACGTTTTGTTTGTGACTCGTTGCCGACTGCTAGCCGCTCGCCTGCTCAGGAGAGTTGTGGGTTCCTGGAGGCGGATGCTTAATGAAAAACTTATAAGGATACTCTGGCTTTCTGAGAAACATAGGCCGAAGCGACAGATTGTAGTAGAGCATCATCCACTGGAGGGTTTCTGGCTTCCCGGGCTCAAGTTTACGTAACGCAACACAAGAAGGCTAGCCACTTGGCTAGCGGCTGTAGTCTAGCCAACTCGAAAAAGTTCCGTTCCGATAAAGTTAACTCTCCTGCTCATGAGGCAACATGCCGTCCACTCGCCAACGCAACACTGCCGCGAGCTTAGACCATGTGAAGCCATGGCTCAAAACCCAGTCGATCCCTCTGCTTCCCATACCCGCATTGGTCTGCAAATGCGAGACCCTGAACTCCGCTTCCCGTTCCCGACACTCGGGTAAGGGTCCATCCTCGAGTCTGTGGTTCGTTTCCAGCTTGGGGCTTAAGCACCAGACCAATGTCTCCCAAATTTCATGCTATTTCGGAAATCTCAACTTCTGTTCTTTGCGGCATTCATTTACTGCACCCACACCTTCGGCCTAAAATGCCAACAGTCCTGTGGTGCATGCCAAAGCCACATATAAGACTTCAAGCTCCAGGTCCTCGCTGCGGCGGCCACCGCCTCTGCTGGCGCCCTTACCTTCGCGCCTCGACGACAAGATCTCCGGGGCTCCGGTCTTGGTTGGGATTTCAGGGCGTCTCCAGTCCGAGTTTTCGAAAGCGTATGTGGCGGAGCGGAGTTTGAACTTTGAGACCCGGCGCCTTCCGACGTACAGGCGCTGCGGTGTGAATAGTTTGGGTTTGGAGGCACCAGAAGTGTGTGGTTCTCTGAGATGGTACGTAGCGTTGCACAGCATGCAAGCTCTGCTACTGTTCACTTGAGCCGCCTGAGAGCAATATTCGACTTCTGCGGTCGCGGATGGAATCTTATCGCCCTGCGAGTGGTCGTCGTAGCAGTAGTAGTAGCGGGGAGAAGAGAAGGAGGAGGAGTAGCAGGAGTAGGAGTAGGAGGAGTAGTAGGAGTAGTAGGTCGTCGTCGTCGTCGTCGTGGCGATTGGCTACCCTCTGCGTCGTAATCATCTCATGCACCTGTAGTTGACGGCCCTTTTCCTGTCCCACATCAGAACTGTATTCCTTTTCATTTGTCTTCGAAGTATGAAAGCCGCCAGCTAGGTGGCCCCTCCTAGCACGCCCAGTGCCGCCCGCATCGAGCCAGGCGATGTGCGGCTCCGGGTTCAGGTTTTAGCTGGGAGTTGTAGTTGATGGATCTTTCTGGTTGAGGACTATCGGACGGACAATTCCCAGTTGGTTGGGTTTGGCTTCGTGCATTGCAGGGCTGTAGCAAGAAGTTGCAGCCCGGGTTACCCACTTTGGTTTGGTTCAGGTTTCGTTTGTTCTGGATTCAGACTTTCGGCTGTGCAGCTTGTGTCAGGTGGATCCGCAGCCTCGTACAGAAATGCTATGCTTCCAGCTGCTGATTGGTTTTCCGGCTTTCATTGTTCGCTGAAGGGACCCCGGCTTGTGGGTAAAGAATCATCACGGAACTCGTAGGCCATTCACCAGCATAGCTTACCGAAGAGGATCCATATCTACGTGCATCGCCGAGAGCACCGCAACTATGTTGTTAAGCCTCCGCTTATGAAAGGATCTTTGCCTGAACTGGAAACCGAGGCGTCGTGGCCGGCCATGCCGTTGCTGCGCAGCCCCAGACCTCCAGCATGGGTGCCGCCACTGTGGGCGCCGCAATGCTTGCGGCTGGCTGTGCCGCGCGAGTCACACCCAAGGGCAAGGCCAGCCTAGTTGCAGACATGGCAGCCAAGTCTGCTCTGAAGACACACATGACTCACATGACGATTCGGTCAAGAGGATCAGCAGGCGAGATCGGAATGCCACAACATTGTTGTGTTTAGGTTGCGTAGGATATGCTGTTCGCCAGTTCGCACATATTCCCCCACGGTTCGTGCATGAGCTCAACTTGCAACTTGCCTTTTGTCATCTTTTGTCCTTGCTTAACATTCGTTCGTTGGACGGGCTGCGGTGCAGTTGTACATGGCCCAGGAGTGACTTTCCGCACGTAAGAGTCCTCGAATTCGCTTGTGGAGGGCCTGTGCGGAGAGCACTGCAGAGGACATGTGCACTAGACAAATCTGGACATGCAGCGTCAAATTACTACAATGTTACTACAAGTTCTGTACGGAAACAACGTTCATTCCTAGCCGTGTGGCAACACCATGTCCTTGCGTTCAGGGTGTCCTTCCGGATCCCCTCAGTTAAGGTGGGAAGCGTAAGCGCCATGGTCCCGAATCCCACCAGTACTTGGGGTGAATGGGACTTTGGTGGGATCCGTACTTGGAGGAAAGCCGTTTCCTGATTGAATCCTCCTGATTCCAGCCAATATCTGGGGGAAAGCATTTTGGCCACGCTCCCACATCCGTCAGTGCTTGCGGCAAAGCATTCTCCTGCTGGAATCTTGGTGGTTTCCTGTTGGTCTCTGGGTGGTCTCCTGCTGGTCTACTCGTGGTTTCGTGGTCTCCTGGTGGTTTGCTCGTGGTGCCTGGTTGTAGCGGTCGTCCTGGTCGCGGTGCCATATTAGACACAGTTGGCGTATCGGCATATATATTATATCTATTTAACATGCGCATCTGCCACGGCATCTTCGTATACATACATGTGTATGTGGTTTTATTTGCGGCATGGTATGTTCGGAATGGTGTGGTCTAGTATAGTCTGGTATGGTTATGCAGTATGGTTGAAGGTGGTATGATATGGTATTGATTATAAACGCAGTTCATGGTAGGCATGCTGTGACATAAACGTAGTATGTTGTGGCGCTGCTTTGTAGCCGTCTGTTTTGATTGTGAGTTATATAGGTGTAGATATTATATACTTGTATATCTATGTCTATACTTATATATATATATATATATGTATACATATAGAAAAATATATACACACATCTACTGTGTTTGTATCTGCACCGATATCTGTATCTGTATCTATGTTTACCTGTATGTGTATCTACACCTGCACCCATCAGTCTGCGTCTATATCCATGGCTATATCTATAATCAAATCCATGATCTATATTATTTCTCTGCTCTACATATGGGCAGAACGCAGGTCGCTGGACGAAATGACCTCGTACAGAATCCGCTAGGAAACCCTGAACCCCAACAGTGCATCTCCAAGCGTCGGCACAAGCGGAAGCCCGGAAACCTACTATTAGTCTGCAGCTCGCTGGATGACATGACTGAAGCATACTGCAGCCGATCCCTTCCGCCCGAGGGTGCCAGCAATTGCTTTTGTGCACCCTGAACCCGTCAGGGCCAGCGCAAGGCCGTGAAAGTGGCAGCGGTCAGCACCGACACCGAGGTGCGCTCCTCTGTTCAAAACTGTCTCCGGTCACTCCATTGAAGAGGCGGTCGCCTCGCAAGCTGCAAAGGTGGAGACCGACTGCATCAACTCCATCCGCTTCCTGGCCGTTGATGCTGTGAACAAGGCGCACTGCATGCTCGATCGGCCAGCACTCGCAAGCTCTCCTCGAGACAAGTCGGAATCGAAAACGATATCCAAACACAGTCTTCGGAAACAGGGCATGTTACCAGGGAGACTTCAGAGAGCGTTGGTTCAAGGAAGCAAAAGTAGCATCTGTGGCATTTCAGGGACCGTTGCTGGAAGGTCGGCTGAATCCGTAGGCCTTGCAACGCCCCGGTCACAACGCCGAAGGATCTCGAAACCCACCTAATGCAGAGCAGGCTCCCCCCGTCCGATATCGCTCACACATCCTCAAACTCGAGCCCCATGAAGCTTCCACCTTGGAATGCTCGCCTCCTGGAGGGTTAAGCCTTGTCCACTTCTGATTTCATGGAGGTCTGCACCGAAACAAACGCCGAGTGCTCAAGCATCTGCTGATGCTGGGCATGCGGTTGCCAGCTCCCGCGGCCCCCGCCCAGACCCGGAGAAATGACTGCAAAAGCTGAAACTCTGGACATTGCCCGTCCATACACCAGGCCAACTCGGGCCATCCCGGAGCACCCATGGGTCAGGCGCCGACTCTCGGAGTTTATTGTCGGTTTTTATGGGGGGTTCATGGATCTTCGTCTGTTTCTGATATAGGCAACATCGGCAGATGTGCTGCGCTGGGCCCACGATAAATACAGAAGTGCTTGCATTCCAGTGCGTTGCGCCATATCCATGGTAGGACTTTGTGGCATTCCCGCTGTTTCTGAACGTGCATTGCAGGCAGCTTCGGGAAACTTCATGTATAGAAGCTCAGACCCCCATAGAGCCACAGCAGCCCAGGATCGGATACCTGCTCTTTGCAGAAGAGATGGCTTACAACCCCAAGGACGGAAGGGAGACCCATTGATTTTGGAAGATTCGAATCTAAGACCTCGCCTCGCCCTCTGACTCGCCCTCCCACCACAAAGCCTTTGACGCTCGGAAGCTACAGATTTTGCAGCTTGGACTGCGATCTGCTTGGTTCTGTTCGTTGCGTTTCCAACACCCGTGGCATCTACGGGAGCAGCACCGCGTGCCCATCCAATGTCGGGATGCACCTCGATCCGGGTTGTTTCGTTTCCGTATGGCTGTGCCTGCACGACTGGCTCTCTACGGCTTGCACTGTTTGATGGCGGAGAAGCCGGAGTGTACGGGTTGCTGATGAGGATTTACCTACTGGACATGCTGAAAGAGACTATTCGCATCGAACAAACAAAGCACATGACCGTACGCTCTACGAGACTGCCTGTAACTTCCCTTGGAGGCAGCTGCACACTCCTCGTTATTCTGTGGCGCAGATGCGGGCGGGACTGGAGGCGTTCCACAGCTGTCATAATCTCTGGCTCGACAGGATGTCTGGAATGAGCTCAACGCAGGCATTCCCATTTCTTTCCGCGGCCCAACCAACCTACACTCTCTCTACATTTACATGGTCAGAAGGAGATGGAGGCCGTCAGGCTGCAAAGCTGCGGTGCAGTGCAGGTGCATCGAGCCGTTGTCAGCCTTTCAGGCACCAAAACTCTTCACCCGCCGCAAGGGATACCGACTATTCGGACCGGAACGTGACACGGCGGTATCGCAAGAGCACCTCGCTCAAGATTTTGTTGCCCTCGATCGGTGGGGGGCTCCTTTGGAGCAAAGACGTGACAGTTGTTGTATCCTCATCCACAAAGACTTTCGTTTTTGGAGCTTCGACGGTTCTCCGACATTCGCGTGGGTATGCTGGGGAGTAGTGTAGTGAGGCTAGTAACTTCGAACTGGCAAGACAGAATGAATGCGAAGCGTGTCATAATGTAGCCGTACAAATGGTAGAGAGCTATTCGTGTAACATCGAGCAGGACCCGTCTTGGTGCAACCGCGATCGCTTCGTCCTGTCTTCCGGCCACGGCTGCATGCTGCAGTGCCTACACCTGATTCAGAGCAACCGAATAAGCAAGGCTTTAAATCCGGTACGACGTCGGAAGCATGGTCTAGTACTTGCGGTGCCCATGCCAAAGCCAAAACCCAGTCAAACATGTAGCACGACGTACACAGTACATGAACATGCTTCATTTGCTGCGCGGGACGGCACAGTCTGGTCCAGAAGCGGGATGATGTCACCGATCGTGTGCTTAGCAGCCGGGGAGGGCCTCGTCGTTCTGCTGGTGGCCCTGGAATGCCCTGGAATCTCAAAAGGAGCCTCCACGTTCACCGGTTCGATTCCCGATCGTGTCGGCTTCTGGTTTTGGTGCCAAGGTACTCGCTTCTGCACTTGGCTGGCTATGACAGCGTGGCCATGGATGACCTCAAGCAGTTCAGGCTCGAAAAACCCAACTCTAAAGCTGAGAGGCTCACAGGGTTGAGCGCTCGATGTGTTAAGGATAAATCCGAGCTTTAGACTTTAGACTTTGGACCGCGCGGTTGGGTCGTGAGGGATCCTGGCTGAGGAAGGGTCAAGGTTTCTACTCGTAGTGCATCCATGGGTTCTACGCCTTTGGCGTATGCGGGAGTGGAGAAACGTCGTGCTAGTCAAGGTGGTTGCCTTGGGGGTAGTTGCACGGCTCGCAGGGTACATCCCAAGCTTCTACGTTCGAAGACTGATCCTTGTGCAAAGGCCACTGTCAGAACAAAACTTGCTTCGGTCAGGAAGAGGACGCAGCGTCAGTTGATGGGCTCGTATGCAGGAGATTAGGCTCCTACAGTAACCCTGGAACCTAAACGTACTTCGAGGCTTAAGGGAAGTCAGCTTCGGGTCTGAGGCCTCAGGCAACCTTACATTATGACTCATGCCTGGTTACATGTGATTTTCTATCAAAAAAAGACCAAGCAGGACGATCCTCTGCACAAGAGCCTTGGACCTAAGCGAAAGGGGAGTCAACCAATCTGATGGCAGGCAGTGGGGCTCCAAGACTCCCGGCCATCCGGAAAACTTCGAGACACGGCTCTGTCTTGCTAACGTTGTCTCGTTTGCCCATTTGTGCCCGAGTCATGTGCGAGCCATCCAAGTGCAATTCCTAGGGAGGGTTGGACGCAGGGAGGGAGGGGAAAGTCTCTTTTGGCAGAAGAGGTCGAGTAGAACCTTGACGCCTTGAGAGGTTCAAACGCATCCCCAGCTAAGGAGACCGACGGCATCGAGGTCACAACTGGCCCGCTAGGCGGCTTGTCTGAGAAGGTTCATGTTCCATGCACAGCGCCACCACCTTGCCCCAAAATGTAAGCGCTCTCTGTCGCCTCCGAATGGCCAGAGATCGTCGACGGAGACTGTGCGAAGCTTTGATGCTCAAGCCCTAAGCCTTGATCCGAATTCTTCACCCAGAGCCTACACCAACCCAGTCGAAACCCAGAATAATAGCAAGAAGAGGTGCGCTCGCCCCCGGCCAGCTTTGGCTTCTTGAACCTGTGTGGGATTTCCGCACCGCAAATTTCACCGAAGCAACCTACCAAGAACGTTTAAGTTTAAGACGACATATCAAAAAAAGGAGCACAAAGAAGTGTTCGCGTCAATGTATTGCATGTACCGATGCTTACACAATTTGTTATGTGCGTACTACCATGGCCACAACAAGTGGTGCAAAGTGCTGTGAGCCTTTCCAGAGCTGATTGCCGTAGCATGACAGACAATGTCCTAGACCGTAGGCATCTTGTCTATAGCATGGGCCCTCGGATGCAACCCGAGCACACAATCGAGCATGTGTAGTTGGAGCCCGTTGAGCCGTTTGAATGATGAGGCTCTTCCCGCTGATGTTACTTCTCACAATGTGTCATCCTTATTGACTTATTGATCACACCAGCATCCCGAACGGACAGTGAGCACACAAACACCAGATGCTAATTTCAAGCCAAAGAGTTCCCAACAAGGCATGGGCATCTCCAACGCCGTTGGCTTGGCGGCCGCTGAGGCGCACTTGGCAGCGGCCTACAACAAGCTACTCGGTCGAGAGCTTTGAGTTGGGGTGATGGTGAGTGATATAGGGTTGCTCTTTGTTGCTGTTTGTTGAGGGGCCGGGGGGGCGGGGTTTTTGACGAGTTCTTCTTCTGGCTTTGCATCTTTTTCTTCTTGCGCCATGCCTGGACTGAGGCCGGACTTCACTCTCATCGACCACTACACCTACACCATTGCGGGCGACGGCTGCATGCAGGAGCGCTATCCGAAGCCCCAGTCTGACCATGCTTGTCATTGTGCTAGGCTAAGGATCTTGTCCGGATTGGCACTTACTAGCCGGCTTTGCTCGGCACTCTGCCGCTTGCTGCTACTCCTGAAACCCTGCCTGCCTTAGAACTTAGCCACAGACGGGAGACACACAGACACCCGCACACGTTGCAAGGCCCACAAAAACACTTTGGAGTTACATCGATGCTACTAACTGCTAGTAGTGACCTGTCACTCCACTGTGTGGCTCGAGCATGCATCTCAAGTACAGCCGAGAAACTTAGTTACAGACTGACAGTAGTCAGTAGCCTCAGCAGGTTGAAACGAGTGTGACCTTGTCGCATTTGCACAGTTTCGGGCACCAGGAGTGAGTGCCGAGTACTAGGCCCTCTGGGCTCCAGGAGAAGTGAGACCGCAGAATCGGCAATTTTTGTTAATTGTATCACATCTCAAAAAGGGACGAATTCGTTGCTATCGAATCCACAAAACTTTGGAGCCATCAAAGAGCACAGTCATCACTCATTCACAGCAGTCCTTGGCTGAGTCTGAGTTCGATTTGTTCACGCCTGAAGCTTGAACATGAAGCCTGCAAACACGGGTCAGGAAGGCATCTCCCACGAAGCCTGCGCCTACGCCGGCCACCTCGGGCTGGGCAAGCTCATTGCTTTCTATGCACCTGGGTCGGAAATTTGTCCCTAGGATGGGTTTGTCGTTGTTCTGGTCATGCCTCTCACATTGTTGTGCTGGTTTTGTTTGAAGGTTTTAGAGTTCAGCAGTACGTACAGGAGCAGCTGCTCGGCGGGGTTATTTCTCTGGGTCGGGGTCGGGAATCCCAGGACGACAACGGCATCACCATCGATGGCCACACGGACCTTTCCTTCACCGAGGTGGCTCTGGGACACGCATGTGGTAGACCTCCCGCAAAAGTAGTGCTGCATGGGACTTATCCGTAAAAGACACAGACACTACAGAATAGCACAAGCCTCAGTGTTCCCAGTGTTCCAAGAAATGACAGATGCGTATCAATCATCGAGACTGCCGGTCTCCCCTTCTGGGTCAGAGGGAGGTTGAGAACGTACTGTCACGACGATGTTTCTCACTGGCTTGCTTTTCAGGACGTCGGCAAGCGATTCGAGGCTCCGATCTGTTGATTCAGTAAAACCATGAAAGCTGTCTGGAAGCACACTCTGGATTTGGATTGGATAGCGTGGTTTGAGGGATTCTGATCGTTATTCCTGTCAGCATGCGTACGGTCCCAGCTTGCTTTCAGCAATTGCTTCATGTGCCCAGAGGCAGGCAGGCTCTCAAACTCGCTGACGCAAAAGACTCCCTTTCTGAGGACACAAGTGTGGACTCTGCATGCGGCATTCATCTTTCCTGGACAGGCCTACGGCTGGCAGGTCATCACCGTGAGTGACGGCGACAAGGAGCCCCAGCAGTAGTTTTGGCCAGCTTGGAGCAGAGAATGTTGGAGCTGAGGCCTCAGAGTTTCGGGAGGAGTGCAGGGCGTGTGTCCTTTCCTTCATGGTATCGTTTGGGAATGCGCAGACCTCCCTACATTCTGTTTGCAGCAAGTCTGCCAGGGACGATCGTGCGCACGTGAACCGTCGTGTCCGAGATTGCCATTGCAGGATGTCGGTGCCATCCGCAAGGCCATCGCCGAGGCAAAGGCCTGCACTGCATCCTGTTCGCACAGATCCCAAGTAACATAGTAACACGGCCATTAGTACAAGTTATGGTAGTATTCGCAGTAGCAGTAGCAGTCGTCGTCCTCCGCGTCCTCGTCCTCCTCCTTGGTGCAGTGACAGTCGTAGTAACGACGTGCATGATAGTAGTACTACTTTGAAAGTCCGACATGCCAATCAACTTCCCTCAGAACGATCTCTCCAAGCTACACACACCGAGGACTTCTAAATCTCCAAACTACGTCTTATTCGCCTCGGCTGTTGCATTGCCATGAAGTCGGGCTGGGATTCGAAGCAAGCCTGTTTTGCCATGCGAAGTACAACTTTGGTGCTTGTTTTGACGGCTCTGGAAAGACGACCTTTCAATGAAGCAGTTGCCCTGCCCCACCGCAAGACATGGACGTTTCATCAACACCAAGCTCTTGTAGCGTATGCACTCATCTCGCCGGAACAGGCGTTTTGTCATGTCAGGCTCTTCAGGAAAACCTACGTCCGGTCATTCGATTGAGTGATGCCTTGTGTCTTCGCCAAGCATCCACCAAGGACAAGCCCACTCTCATCAAGGCGCCTGCAGCTTGTGAGTGTTTTGAGGTAGGTCATGAGAATTGATTCAGAATCCAGACTCTGCAAGCTTGAGTAACCTGCCCATCTCTGGGTCGAGCCTGTCAGTTCACTGCTCAAGACCAAAGCCCAGACATAGCCCAAACCAAACCAGGCCTCCTTCCAATGCCCACATCTGCTTCGGACACTTAGAGCGTGAACCGCGTTCACGTTCTGCGGCTCCTGAGCAGGTGAAGACCACCATCGGCTTCGGCTCGCCCAACAAGGCACCATTCAATTCAATCTCATCTGCCCCGTTTGACCATGAGGCCCCAATGAAGCTTGCTCCTGCTCGCCAGCTTAAGCACTTGCCTCAAGCTTTGCCTGAGTCGCCTCGCAATCACACCGTAGTATGGATCTCCCACACGCTCCATCATGATGTGGAAGTGGTTATACAGATGAATATGCTAAGCAGGGTGTTGCCAGTTTGAGTTGCTTTCGATCTGGGTCTGAGGGGTTACGCGTGTGTGCGTGTGTGTGTATATATACATATATATATATATACCAATGCATGTGTGTAGATATCTGTGTATATATACATATATATATATATACACACAACCATACTACACAAACCAAGAGTCTTTTCTTTTCGGAGCCCCTTGGAAAAGTTGGCATCTGCGCCATAGCCGAGAGCGGAGGCAGTTGGCCCGATCTCTTGAAAGAATTCCTTTACGAATCACGTGTAGACTGCAAAACCGTGCTGGCATCATCCGCCGGCCTCGGAGAGTACGGGGAATGCAGAGAATGCTGCAAAGTCCTGCGGCTAGCAGCTATGCAACCCAGCAAGCCTGAAAGTGCGCCCTCCAACCCAGAACCGGAATCTCGATTCCGTCTCTGATTCTCTCACACTGAGGGCCCGGATCCCTCACCCTCATTTCCTGGTTGAGATTCAGGCCGACAGCCACGATGCGCACGGAGCTCCCCTCGGTGCTGACGAGGCCGAAGCGACCCGCAAGTGCCTTGGCAACTTCAAGGCGAATCTAGGGCTCAGAGTCTAAGTCTCACCTTTTTCGTGGATTTCTGTAGATTTTCCTGTGGGGCTGCTGCTGCTGTTGCTGCTGCTGTTGCGGCTGCTGCTGCTTCCACTGCTACTGCTACTGTTGTTACTGCTGCTGTTGCTACTGCTACAGTCATTATCAAATCATGCCTACTACTACTACTACTACTACTACTACCACCACCACTACCACTACCACTACCCCCACTATTATTACAACAACAACTACTACTACTACTACTACTACTACTACTACTACTACTACCTACTACCACTACTACTACTACTACTACTACTACTACTACTTCCACTACTAGCAGCAGCATCTGCCATGTTACCCCATCTGTTTGAGCTGAATCAGTTCATTTCCAGTAAGGAAAAATCATAGA